AGCACTCACATACAACTATCTCTGAGTAGTCAAGTGAGGCAGATGGCAAAAATGGCCCCCGTTATTCACCCCTCCTTCAATGCATGTCCTTGGTCAGATACTGTTGCAGGGCCCTCCCACTCTGTCTCAGAGTTGGCCATGTGACCTCCTGTGGCCCAATGGGATGTTAGCAAACAAAGCAGAGACTTGAAGAAAAGTGCTTGCGTATTTGGGCTCACTTGTTCTCTCCCCTCTAAGAACATGCTTGTGCTAGCCTGCTGAAGGATGAGATCCATGGAGTAGAGTGGATTTACCCCTGTTCTCCCAGCTAAGTCTATCCCAGACTACCCAAGAACCAGCTGATACCCAGACATAGGAAAGAATCCAGCCAAGAGCAGCAGAGTGCCTACACGTCTCACAGCCAGGGCTGGCTTCATGGCCATGTGACCTCGTAGTGGCATAGGGCCCTGTGCTAACAAATGTCTCATGCTTGGTTTAATGTTCTGCTGTCATTGTCTTGAAATTCTTAATGATTTTTGAATAAGGGGCCCTGCATTTTTATTTTGCACTTAGCTCCACAAATTACATAGCTGGTCCTGCCCCCATCTTATCACTGACACCTGAGTGAGCCTGGCTGTGACAGGAAGAACCACCCAGCTGGCCTATAGACTCATGAGATAAATTCTTACTATTTAAGTGACTGGGTTTTGTGGTTGCTTTGCATTATTATAGCAACAGACACTGACACACCAAACCTTTCTTTGTTAGACACGTGGCTGGTCCTCCATCAGCATCATCTCAAATACACTTCTAATGTGCATCATATCTCACAGAAACAGTAGTAGATTAACTGAGAAATAGAACTCAAAATTATCAAGTATGCCTTTCTCATTCATATATGGACCACAGAGATGCAAAGAGCTGGTTCATACGTTTCCCACTAGTGGTTTCACTCAACTGTAAAACAAAATATTGGCTGTCACCATTACAATAATAATAGTCCCACCATATTTGTACACCATGTGCTATCCAGCATACAACCCTGTCATTAGGTTTGCTTAGGGCTAGTTTTGCATTCTCTCCCTGCATTTAATTTGTCCTGAATTTGAGGCTGCATTTACAAGCATGTTGACCAGAGCATGACATGCATCTGTTTGGCTATTGTTTTGGCCTCTTTGCATTTAGAAATAAAATTAATCAATTTCATATTAGAAACTATTATTTTGTGCTTGGTCCAAGAAAAACTACTGGTTGACCAGAAAGGTTATTCTATTTTGGAAATGATGTGAAATCTCTGAGAGCAAGAGGAAGCTCTCTGATACCGTTTTCTAATAGAGTACATATTGGAAACCAGAGGGGGATAAATCCCTTGTTCAATAAAAGCCAGTTTTTAGACATTCATAGCCACACTTCCCATTCACACTTTCCCTCTCAGCTGCTTGGGTGAAATCATCACGTTCATAGATGCTCTCGTCCCAACGGATCCTGAAGTCCTGCTCACTAATGATGCTTCAGAGTTGCAGTGTTTGTACTACTATTTTTATCTTTGCTTTTACACTTCAGTGAACCACTTTTTAGTCATTAGTCTATTTTTGTTAATCAGAACCATAACACATCATAGTAACAACAAAAAATGCAAATTTTACACACACAAACAATAATACGCAGATGATAGAGCTAAAATGAACCATATCCTAGTAACTGAATTTTAAGTATACCTTGTCAAAGTCTGACCAATTTGAGCCACCTGCACGCTTGAACTATTATTAAGAACATAACGGTATTCAATAATTTTTCTTCCATTTCAAATTTATACAATTCTTAAGCACATATTTTTTTTCCATTGCTTATGCCACAGAAGCTGCCAAACTACTTGAGGACCATTTATTTTACAGACAAACTGATCACATTTTAGAAACACTAACCTATAAGAAAACCTGAACTCTTTGATGTGGCATATAAGCCATCCCATAATCTAATCCCTTGATTCATATAATGACACTTTATGTTTACTGAGACCTTAAATGATTCCTCGTGATTAGGCGCCATTCTAAGCATTTCAAATATATTCTCTTATTGCAAGCTCACAATAACCCTAGGAGGCAGGTCCTCATGTTGTTATTATGAATTGACAGATAAGGAATTATGACTATTACAGAGTTACTTGCTCAAGGTCACAGAGCCATCCCAGGCTTGTCTCCTAATGACCTTGTTATTTGGCCCCCCACCCTGCCTCTTCCATCTCCCCTTCCTGTATTCTCTCAAACTCACAACAGCCTCTGTGCGCTGTGGCCATGCCACGCTACCTTGCATTCTCCAGTAGAGTAATCTTTCATCTGTGTCTGTGCCCATCTTGTTCCCTCTGTCTGGAATATTCTCCTCTGTTTCTCTCCTTGTCACCTTGGTAAACTTTCACTCGCTCTTCAGCACCCAATTCAAAAGTCTTCTCCAGGGGCCGGCCCCGTGGCTTAGCGATGAAGTGCGCGCGCTCCGCTGCTGGTGGCCCGAGTTTGGATCCCGGGCGCCCACCGACGCACCGCTTCTCCAGCCATGCTGAGGCCGCGTCCCACATATAGCAACTAGAAGGATGTGCAACTATGACATACAACTATCTACTGGGGCTTTGGGGGAAAAAATAAATAAAATTATTAAAAAAAAAAAACAAGTCTTCTCCATGAAGTCTTTCTTTCCGCCCACATCCCAGGATTTTTACCTAGTCTGTAACATCAGCCTAAATTTTCTTTCTTTCCATTCTCCAGACAAAGATGAAAAAATGTCTAGAGTGACAGCTGAGTTATTAAGAATTACAATATGACAGAACATAATTTACTACGTTGTACCTGATTGTTCCCTGGTCTATCATTAGTCGACTCCACTTAATGACTTATGCCTCAATGAACAGGCAATTCCTTACCTTAAAGTGTTATTCTCAGGTGGCTGGAGAGCAGAATTAATTCCTATTGCGTCTATAATAGCAACTGGTTTACTTTGTAAGACGCAGAGAATACAGTCTCTATTTCACTCTCTCAGTTGACTCTCTGGGAGTAAGACCCATGATAATACGTAACGTGTCTGAATTCACTATCTCCAAGAGATGGTTGGAATATTGCTTTATGGATGCTTAGAAAACACAGCTCTATCAAGGTGGCAGGAATGTATTTTTAGGTCTGCTGGTAATTGAGAAAGCTGTAAGTGCATCAGTTACACTCTCTCTGAAGAAAAGGTAGAAGGTAGTGGTTTAGAGCAATGGTCCCTAGACTCTGCCTCACGTCAGCAGTGTGCATTTTGAGCCTGCACCCCCACAGATGTGTGTGTTTATTTATAGTTTATGTATGTGGGCTGCTGTAGTAACGTTCAGAATATTACCAAACATTCATGAAACGGAAAGCAAAAGGAATGAGGTAAGGAATAAACATGAGTAGAAGTCCCACTCTTTCCCTTCCTCACCCAGCGGGTCATCTCGTGCACCTGCTGGGACATGTTCACGCTGCCGTTGAAGACCCAGAGTGTACGGATCACTCACCAGACAAGCTTTCACTACCTGGACCCTCAGTTGCCTCTCCAGTAAAATGGGAATCACATTATACGTACATCATAAAGTTGGGAATTAAAGTCATTCAACAAACAGTTGTTGAGGGCCTACTACGTGGGGCAGTGCTCCAGGAAAGGGGACATACAGTAAGTAAAATGCCCAGCTTAGTGCCTGGCACATGGAAAGTGCTCAATGCATGTTTTCTATCATTATTCCTAACAGCAGGCAGCCCAGCCAGAGCCTTAAAACAGCACAGACCAAATCAAATGCCTTCAGCACATCTCCAGAATTGTCCAGAGGATAGGATGCCCTTCTCATCCGTGAACATGAATAGTTTCATTTTCTCAACAGGCGTATTTGAAGAACCAAGGAGAGGTAACATAGCACAATAGTTGGGCACAAAGACTCTGGAGCCGGACTTCCAGAGTCCAAATCCTGGCTCCACTTACTGGGCATGTGACTCTGAGTAAGTTAGTCTCTCTATGCCTCAGTCTCCTCAGTCTCCTCATCTCCTCCTCAATAAAGCTGCTAAGGGTACACTATTAGTGCCTACCCTATAGGGTTATTATGAGGATTACATGAGCTTTTAGTTGTAACATGCCTGGCACATAGTAAGTGCTGTTTATTATATAAATAATAAAATGAATTAAAAAAGCATCTTTCTTGATCACACTAGCTATTATGATTATTGAACTTTTTTTTTATAATTTTATTTATTTACTTATTTTTCCCCAAAGCCCCAGTAGATAGTTGTATGTCGTAGTTGCACGTCCTTCTAGTTGCTGTATGTGGGACGCGGCCTCAGCATGGCCGGACAAGCGGTGCGTCGGTGCGCGCCCGGGATCCGAACCCGGGCCGCCAGCAGCGGAGCGCGCGCACTTAACTGCTAAGCCATGGGGCCGGCCCTATTGAACTATCTTTACTTTCCCTCCTCTGATTCCATTCTCACCAAACAACTTTCTTTTTCCTTTCCTCTGTGTGTGTGTGTGTATATTTCTGTGGGTGAATATATCACTAACAGAGAATATGCTGATTCGCTGGTACAAATAACAAGATTCTATAGAAATGTATATTTCTCACTCTAAATTAATTCATGACAATTTGATTTATATCTCAGTGTCTGGTGATTTTGGTTAGTGTGAATTTACACTGTTGAGCTCCTGGGGGCACCGACACAGTCTAGTTTCTAGGCCTCTGAAGCTGAGAACCACATTCTAATCCTTGGTGCCAGGAGGCTTCAAGACTCGACAGCTGAGTTGCTTTTATGCATCTCTCTGTCTCTCACTGAATGCAGCCTTCTACCAGATTAATAAGACAAACACTATGAAAGTTCCTCAAAAAATTAAAAATAGAACCACCATATGATCCAGCAATCTCACTTCTGGGTATATATCCAAAGGAAATAAAATCAGTATCTCAAAGAGATATATGCACTCCCATGTTCACTGCAGTATTATTCACAATAACCAAGATATGGTTGTTACCTAAGTGTCTGTCAATGGATGGATGGATAAAGAAAATGTGGTGTATATACATGTATATATATATATATATATATATATATATATATACACACACACACACAATGGAACATTATTCAGCCTTTAAAAAGAAAGAAATCTTGTCATTTGTAACATAATGAATAAACCTGGAGGACATTATGCTAAGTGAAATAAGCCAGACACAGAGAGACAAATACTGCATGATCTCACTTATATGTGTAACCTAAAAATGTCGAACTCATGGAAACAGAAAGTAGAATGGTGGTTGCCAAGGGCTAGGAGTGAGGGTATAAAGTTTCAGTTATGCAGGATGAATAAGTTCTGGAGATCCAATGTACAGCATGGTGACGATAGTTAATACTGTACTGTGTATTAGAAATTTGCTGAAAGAATAGATCTTAATTGTTCTCACCAAAAACAATTGTTCTCACCAAAACAACAGAAAAAAATAACTAAGTGAGGTAATCGATATGTTAATTAGCTCGATTGTGGTAATCATTTCACAACGTATACCTATATCAAAACATCACATTGTATAACCTTAAATATACACAATTTTTGTCAACTATACCTCAATAAAGCCGGGGGCAAAAAAAAAGCCAGGAATAAAATTCCTAGCTCTTTGACTTTTTCTTAACTTTTGTATTGAAATTTAACATAGATATAGTAACCTGCACAAACCTTAAATGTTCAATTCTACAAATTGTTACAAATGTATACACTCACCTAACAACACCCAGATCAAGATATAAAACAATACCAATACCCTAGAAACCTTCCTCTTGCCCCTCCTAGTCAGTACCCTCAAAAGAAACTACTATGTTAACTCAATTATGACAGATTAGTTTTGTCTATCCTAGAACTTCATATAAGTGGAATCAGAATGAGCTGTGCACTCTTTTGAGCCTGGTTTCTTTCATTCAACATTATGTCTGAGATTCATGCATGTAGTTGCATGTAGTAATAGGCTGTTCTTTTTCACTGCTATGTAATATTCCCTGTATGCATTCAATGTCTTTAAAATTTCTAAAACTTACTTCAAAAATCAATGTAAATAAATATAAGAGTATATAAGTATGATTTCATCTATTCAAAATTCCAAAAAGGGCACAGCTACTAATGTTCTATTTCTTTATTTGGGTGTTGATTTCACAAATGTATTTTTGCATTTAAGATTTGTGCACTTTTCTATATGCATGCTATACATGAATACATTTTTTAAAAAAGTAATATGCTGTTCTAAATTCTTTCAGATTAATTTCCCATTGAGAAGCAATGTGAAAACTGAATGAGACATTAAACACACACACACACACACACACACCTGTTTGAAGGCATCAGAGAGGTATTCAGGCAGCAAGGAATCACAGATAAGATCAGGGACAGAGAGAAAGACCACAGAGGTAAGGCAGGCATTTAGCAGAGTTTTCCCTTCCACCTGAGGGATGTGGCAGAAAGGCTGAGAAGATGAGCAAAGCTTGTAGCAGATTCACAAGGAATCTGCTTGTGGAGACAATCGGGGTTCAGGACCAGTCAAGGAGAGGGAGCCTGGTGAATACCTCAGTCATTTGGTTAGGCCCTGAAAGGCTACAGATGAGGCATAGGAGTGAAACAGAAATAGGACATCCCTCACAGGAACACAGACCTGGCTTTGAATAATCTCAATCTGTCACTGGATTAGGATAGAGGTTCTTAACTTATGCTCTTGGATGTAACTCAGGGGCCCATAAACTTAGACAGGAAAAATTACAGCTTTCACCCTATAACCTCTAGCAAAATGTATCCTTTCCTTAAATGACGTCAGTGGGCAACACACCATCATGACATCAGCAGTACTTGTGACTTACAACCTGTGGAAATCACAGACACTTTCATATCACATTACAGTTGTTGTAGGTGTTTAAAAATATCATTTATACTCACACTACTTCAAAATTGGAGTAGTATTAGACCTGTTACTAGACTTTGTAATCTGATACATGAAGAAGGAAGCGTGTATATTACTAATTTGTTTTTAAAATATTTTGATGAATGTATTTCAATAAAATTAGTTTTCTTTATAATCCCATGTGCTCTATTTATGCATTTACGTACTTCATACTAAGCAGGGATACATGGATTTAATGAGACTACTTACGGGGTCCACAGCATAAAAAAGTCCAAGAACACTTGAACTAAAATGCTCAAGGGACAAATAGAAAAATCCACAATTATAGTTAAAGATTTTAGCATAATTCTCTCTGTACTGACAAAACAAGCAGATCAAAAACAAACAAACCAAAAAGCAAAAAAAAAAAAAAAAATGATCGAGTATATAGAAGACTTGCACAATACAACTAACAAACTTGACCTAACATATATAAAACTCTGCACCCAACAACTGCAAAATAAAGTCTTTTAAAGTGCACATGGAAAATATGCCCAAACTGACCATACACTGGGTCAAAAAAAAAAAATCTCCACATATATCAAAGAATGAAATCATACAGAGTATGTTCTCTGATTACAGTTAAATTAAGAGAGAAATTAACAAGAAAAAGAGAACTACCCCCCCTCATATATTTAGGAGTTAAGCAACATATTCTAAACAATATTTTTCTAATGGAAATTACAAAATATTCTGAACTGAATGATAACAAAGATGTTACATGTCAAAATTGTGAGATCCAGCTAAACCCATTCTTAGAGAGAAATTTATAGCCTTAAGTGTGTATATTAGAAAAGAAAAAGGGCTGAAAGAATCAATGATCTAGCACCCATATCAAGAAATTTTAAAAGAGAACAGCAAATTAAATTTTAAACAACAAGAAGGAAGGAAATAATAAAGCTAATAAATTAATAAAATAAAAAGCAAACATTTAATAAAAAGGATCAACAAAGCCAAGAGCTGATTCTTTGAAGAAATTTTAAACAAAAAAGGATAAATCCTTAGTAGAAACTGATCAAGAAATAAATGAAGATAAAGGGCACGTCACTACAGAACCAATAGATATTGAAAAACAGTAAGATAATATGTGTAACTTTATGAAAATAATTTTGAGACTTTAGATGAAATGAGAAAATGTCTAGGAAAAAAGCATCAAAATTTACACACACAGAAAATGTTGAGTCTTCCATCTATTAAAGAGACTAAATCCATAATTAACAACTTTTCCACAGAGACATCTCTAAACCAAGATGGCTTCACCAGTGAATTCCACGGAACATTCAAGGAAGAAATAACATTAATCTTACACAAATTCTTTCAAGGGAATTATTAAAACAAAGAAATACTTCTTAACTCATTTTGTGAGTACAGAACAACTTTATTGCCAAAATCTGACAAGAATATAATGACAAAGGAAAATTATTATGAGAAAGGTATATTTCTTTCATGAATACTGATATAAAAATCATGAAATGTAAGCCAACTTAAATCTAGATATATAATATAAAAATATAAACTCACATCTAGTTATATAAAAAGGATATTATACCATCATAACTAAATTGGGACTTTTCCAGGAATGCAAGATTGGCTTAACATTTGAAAATTAATCACTGAAAGCTGGAATTTGGAAAAAAATGGCGGCACAGTAATTTCTAGTGCTCATCCCCCCCACCAATAACAATTTTAACAATTATCTGCACACAAAAATATCTTCACAGGAGTCAAGGATTCCAGGAGAGAGATTACAGCATCTGGGTGAAGCACAGAAATAAGAAAAGATGCATTGAGGAGGGTAGGAAAATAGATTCACACTATCCCCGTTTTCTCGAGCCCAGGCAGGCCTGTGCGGAGATAGAAACTCTCCTCACGGGAAGAGAGTGAAGTGAGTGCCTGACTTGACTGCAGACCCCAGAACCGGTTCGCTCCAGCACCAGGCTGACTCCCACAGCCCGAGGTGGTACCCTGTGGGCTCCCATGAACCCAGGCGCCTGCCGGTTCCAACAGCCCCAGGTGGCTCCCATGCTCCTGGTGGGCTCCCATGAAACCAAGCTCCCAGCTGGGACCAGAACGAGGCTGCATACTGCAGATCCAGGTTTTCGAACCACCCCAGTACCAGGCTGGCTCCCATGGCCCCAGGCCACTGCCAGGCTGGCCCCCACAGACCTGCACTCCAGACTGGCTCCCGTAGACCCAGGATCCCAGCCTGCCCCAACAGCAGGCTACCCTCCACAGACGCAGGCTCTCAGCTGGCCCCAGTACCAGACCAGCCCCTACAGACCCAACCTCCAGGATGGCCCCTGAAGCCCCAGGTTATAGGCTGATTCCCATGGCCCCAGGCTCCAGGCTCACCCTAGCAGGAGGCTAGCACTCGTGGCCGCAGCCCCCAGGCTGCTCCCTCCAAACCAGGCTACTGGACTATCCCAGTACCGGACAGACTCCCATAAATTTAGGTGCAGGGCCTACCCCAGGGGTCCCCAGCACCTGGTTAGACCCTGTGGACCCAGGATCCAGGTCTGCCCACGCACTGTTGTTGGGAATGTAAATTGGTGCAGCCACTATGGAAAACACTATGGAGGTTTCTCAAAAAATTAAAACTAGAACTATCATATGATCCAGCGATCACACTTCTGGGTATATATCTGATGGAAACGAAATCACTGTCTCAAGATAGTTGCTCCCTCATGTTCATTGTAGTGTTATTCACAATAGCCAAGACATGGAAACAACCTAAGTGTTCATCAACAGATGAACAGATAAAGAAACTGTGGTGTGTACACACACACACACACACACACACAATGGAGTATTATTCAGCCATAAAAAAGAAGAAAATCCTGCCTTTTGTGATATGGATGGACCCTGAGGGCGTTATATTAAGTGAAATAAGTCAGACAGAGAAAGACAAGTACTATATGTTCTCACTTATACGTAGAATCTAAAAAATCCAAACTCATAGAAATGGAGAGTAGTGTGGTGGTTGCCATGGGGGTGGGGAGAGGTGGTGGGGGTGTGAGTGTGGGTGGGGAATGAAAGAGATGTTGGTCAAAGGGTACAAACTTTACAAACTTCCAGCTATAAGATGAATAAGTTCTGGGGATCTAATGTACAGCATGGTGACTATAGTTAACAATACTGTATTATATTATTGAAAGTTGTTAAGAGAGTAGATCCTAAATATTATCATCACACACAAGAAGGCAATTATGTGAAAGGATGGAAGTGTTAACTAACCTTATTGTGGTAATTATTTCACCATATATGTGTATCAAATCATCATGTTGTACACCTTAAACTTACATATGTTGTATGTCAATAATATGTCAATAAAACTGATAAAAAGAAAATTAATGTAATTCATTACAGTAAAAAAATAAAGTAGGAAAATCATTTTATTATCTCAAAAGACTGAAAAAGTATTTGATAAGATTCAAAAACCATTTATGGTTTAAAAAAAGACTGCTCTGAGCAAAGGAGAAATAGAGAGGAATTTTCTTCTTTTTTTTGTGAGGAGGATCAGCCCTGAGCTAACATCCGTGCTAATCTTCCTCTTTTTGCTGAGGAAGACCGGCTCTGAGCTAACATCTATTGCCAATCCTCCTCCTTTTTTTTTCCCCCCAAAGCCCCAGTAGATAGTTGTATGTCATAGCTGCACATCCTTCCAGTTGCTGTATGTGGGACGCGGCCTCAGCATGGCCGGAGAAGCGGTGCATCGGTGCGTGCCCGGGATCTGAACCCGGGCCGCCAGTAGCGGAGCATGCGCACTTAACCACTAAGCCACGGGGCCGGCCCCGAGGGGAATTTTCTTAATCTGACAAAAAACACAACTCTAAAAAAGCGCTTCAGGGAACACATTTCCTAATTGTGTAATGTTGAATGCTTTCCCTTTGAGATCAAAATGAGACAAAAATAACTGCTTTCACCATTTCTATTATATTGCATTAGAAGCCTTAGCTGGTACAATGAGGCAACAAAAAGAAATTAAAAGGAGTAGGGATTAGAAAGAAACAAAAACAACTTGCAGAGAACAGTTTGGCCTTTTCTTGTGAAGTTGAACTTGTGCATAGTCTATGATCTAGCACTTTCACTTCCAGGTATATAGCCTGTACAAGACATGTACAAGAATGCTGGTAGCAGCATTATATTCCTCCAAACTGAAGGAAAAACCCAGATGCCCATCAAGAGTAGAATGGATACATAAATTGTAGCACATTCACATGGTGGATTACTATACATCAGTGAAAATGAATG